AATGAAAGTAACTAAGAAAAAAAAAGAATAAAAGTAATCGGAAATAAAATAAAAAGAAAGAATACAAAGAAAAAAGAACAGCATACTATACGATTCTAAGAAAGATTTCTCAAAAACAGGAAAAAAGAAAAGAAAAAGAAAAAAAATGCGGTTTGAGGAAATGAAAAATGAAATATCGTTCTTCATTTGTCCTGGTGACGATTAGTTTACATGATTTTACCAATTTATCTAATCGTCTTCTTGCATGTATCCCAAATTACATCATTGGCTTGGCTTGGTTTAGAGAAGTAAAAACATTTAATTATGAATATGTGTGTACATTCTTGAGACTTTATTTCTTTATTTGGCAAGTGGATATTTGTGCATATTCTTTACGCTCTATATCCGACACAACAAAAACCGTGTTTCTTATTTCCTTATTAGGCACTTAATGCGCGTGCGCATTTTATTATTCCTGCAGATTTTGTACGCCATTTGAATTGGACATACGTCGATAATTTATTTGCCTCGTAGATAAATTATACTCCGAGAAATGCTCATCTTTTCGGGTTTGTGTAATTCGTGTTGGATTAAGTGTACATATTTTCTTGTCGATGCTCTACATTAAACCGTATATTCGTGAATGTTTTTTACCTATATTCTTTTCATACCTCTAACATGTAAGAGTTTCGTTAAACTACTTTATATATGTATGGTTAGATTTGTTCGTTGTTAAAATTGTATATGCTCTATATACGTTTAATCTTTCTTCTTTTGGTCTGTATGCGTTTCATATTTAATCAAGCCTTATTTTTACGTGGGATGAATATGTGATAATAACCAAGTTATCTTTTCCTGGTATCCTTTAAATATTTGTTTGTTTTATTTCATTTTAACATTAAACATGCAGGCGTATATATGTGCACACAAAGATATATAAAGGAATAAATTCAAACACGAGTTTCAAATAGACGGGTTGTTTGGAATAAAAGAGGTATCTTTTTAAAGTAATTTCAGTAATGGAACGATTCGTCTTAGAATACCCGTAGCTTTAATTAAGAAATAGGAAGAAATGTTTTGTTCAATTGTGATTGGTTGATTTATTTAACGGCATATCAACTCGTTTATGGGTCATTTAATGCCGAAATATAATTCTCTTAGGAGATTTGATGTAATAAAAAAAATGATATATGTTATTCTGCTTTCACGATAGAATACATGGTAGACGATACTCAGCTTTTGTGCATATGCATGTTTGTGGAAGATAATTACGAGAGGCGGTCATATTTACGTAATGGAAGAATTCTTTCTTGTTGGTAATTCCACTATAAATAGATATTGTTGGTAATTATACATACATATATATATATATATATATATATACCAGGACAGGGTGAACCTTGGAACAAAAACAAAAGGTGGTTCCATACTCAAAACCTCCGATCTCCCGATTGGAGGCCTTGCTGCCGGGTGTAGTTTATCGTCATACCCAGAACGAATTTACAAATATAAGCTGATTAAGAGTAAAATACATTTATAAAATAAATGGTGGGTAATCGAACAACAAAATGGGAAAGCTCCTAAGTGATGCGTTTCAACTCTAGAAGGAAATTCTTTACGCTAACTATAGTTTTATCGATGGTGTCAGTTTTATGTGTACTAGCAAGGCCCGCGTAAATCACACGTATTTACTAATAAATGTTTTTAATGCTGCACTTTTCAACCCATGACCATTCCCAGAAGTTTATAAGAAAAGTGACATAGTCTTTCTTAAAAATACTGAAATGTCCTCAACAGATCATTAGGTCACAAAACATAATTTAACCCTTCACTACAAATAAATGTCTTTATCTAAGATGACCGCTCCTCCAATCTCTTTTTGTCTCTTCGTCTCCCCCTCTCTCGCTGTCTGTCTGTCTGTCTGCCTGTCTGTCTGTCTCTCTCTCCCTCTCTCTCTCTCTGTATTTTATTCTCTGTCTCCCTTCCATGTTCTGTTTCTCTCTCGGACGCGCAACACAGTTTTAGTTCTCTCTGTCTGTAACAAATTTGTGAAGATATGATTAAAAATAAAGGAAAAAAAAATTAATTTAAAAATGCTACATGCAGTTCAGGGGCGAATTTGTCCTTAACAGCACGTTAGGTCACGAAATATGATTTAACCCCTCACTACAAACAACTGCATTTATCACGTCCAATCCCTCTCTGTTTTGCAGTTTTTTGTCTCTCTCCTTCCCTTTGCTTGTCTGTCTGTCTGTCTGTCTCTGTCTGTCCCTCTCTCTCTCTGTTTTACTCTCTATGTACCTCTCTATTTCAGTTTCCCTCTCAGTATCTATGGTATGAAGCGTGACACACGCCATACAAAGGTACAAGTTTATTTTATATATACAGGATGTATCAGAAATATGTTTACAAACTTTTTGGGCGGGTTCCTGACACCAAAACAAGGTAAAACATCCATATAAATATATGTCCAAAAGGCCATCATTGTACTTCAACACAGCAATACATAATAAATATTCAAAATGTCCTCCGTTTGCTTCTAGACACGCATGCATCCGTCGGATCATTGATTGGCGGGCACATTCAAATACTCCCACACGGTGTCGAATGGTTACGCAGACCACCATAACACGTTGAGGAGGCGTCTCTACATTATTAATGTCTGCTGCATAAACCAATTGTTTTAGGCGGCCCCACAGATAAAAAAATCTGAAGGATTGAGGTCGGGGTGAACGTGCCGGTCATGAAACCGGCCCTCCCCTACCTATCCATCTTTTATGGTCGATATCATCGCGTATAATGTGACTAAAATGTGCTGGAATTCCATCATGCATGAACCACATGCGTCTTCCTATTAGCAGGGGTATATCCTTTTGTAGGTTTGGATTTGTGTTCCTAATAGTCCCCGTAGACAGCTCCTGTAAGACGTGCTCGAACATATGTACCTACAATTCCAGCCACACATTAATCGTAAACTGATGCCGAGAGATTTAGGGCCACTCGGTATGTGCTGGATACCTGGCTCGTATCTGACAGTCTGTAGGATGTATTCTTTATGGTCAGACGTACGAGCGGTCTTGCTCGATCCATAGTTTGTGTGGCCTCGGATCCTGTCTTTGCAACGTGACGATAAAAATCAGCAAAGGTTGGATGACACAGCTGCTTTCGGTCTGGAAACACAATCTAGTACAACATTCCTTAGTTCTACCAGTTCTAACCTTTACGGCTAAGACCTACCATACCACGCACATTGTAGCAAACCGCCCTCATTCCTTTTGTACTCCATTGGCGAGATGTAAGTTCGACTTGGGTGGATTCTTTCTCCCGTAACGCTGCTTTGGGGAACCAACTCCCAATAGGATGTTTCCGCGATCACTATAATCTTAACATGTTCAAGTGTAGGATTAATCGTCATGAAAGCTATATATCCTTAAAAACTGTACCTCTTATTCTGTTACCCTCTACCTCGAGTGACTCCCGGGCCTTGTTTGGGTGAAGATTATTGAAAAAAAAAACAAAAAAAAAAAACAAAGAATCTGCTACCTGTGGGAAATTTATTCCTTGTTTCCTACACATACTGCCTAATTAAAAGTCGATGATTACTAAATATTCTGGAAAAAAATAGTCGTTTTTTTGTACCGCTCCAGTAAGTATCTGATTCCCCCCTGCTATATTCTGGCTTTAAATAACCTGCAATGGGTTGATAAACCGTAGAAAATTATCCGTTTCAAATAAACGGACTGGGACGATTATTATTTTTTACGTGGGACAACTTTATTTCAACCGTCTCTTTTGTTGAATATGCAAGTAATTTCCTCCAATTTCTTAATTTAGGCTACGGGCATTCTATAACAAAGTGTCCCATTACTCAAATTACTTTACAAAAATTATAAAAGAAATTCAAGATTGCCTCTTTACAAGAGCCAAATCAGACCAAAAATGGAATATTGCTTCCATGTTTAGGCTAGAGCTGCTCAGCCCTTATTTGTCTGTCTTGATAGAGTTCAAAAACTGCTACGCCGCCTTGTGGGTGATGAATTATTTTACACCTTACAACTACTTTCCTGCACACGGAACGTCGCAAACATCTCGCTGCTCTATCGCTACTTTTCTGACGAGTTACATTTCCACGACCTTCGACAGCTTGAACCCAATATGTCACGTACACATTCCCTTCGTATTCCTTTAATAAGAAATAAGTTCCACTCGGAAAATTTCTGCCTTATTTGTAGAACAGACTCCCGGCATGATTTCCCGTTCTATACAATCTTGACCTCTTCATATCAACAATTACCTTCCCTACATAACATCATGAACTGCGCTTCTTGCCTTTTTTTAACCCTCTACCTTGAGTGTCTCTTGGGCCTTGTATTGGTTGAGCATTCATGCAAAAAATCGCAGCATTATGAAAAAATATATAAGATGAAAGAAAAACCGATTTGAAAAATATTAATGCCAGTGATATCAAAGACTTTATAAACAACTTTATTTTTTATAGAGAGTAAAGTATATCGTAAATAATTTTGGAGATTAGAGATAATTATCTTTCCTTCAAAGTCAATGAATTACCGTTTGAGATTGTAAATACAATTTGCTGTTTAGATTTCATTAAAGCATTTTAATTACTTCACTGCCTATTACTCAATCGCAAAAGAAACATCGTGAAATTTCTAAGAATCCTGCTACTATTTATAAGTCAGTGCATACACACTTGAAAGTCTGTTTTAGCAGGGGTATAACTGTGTAACTATCCGACACTACATACATCGACATATGTGTGTACGTGGGTGTGTATGCTAACACATTATCGAGCGCGTGCCAATGTTATGGGGAAGGGGTATAAGGGCATGTTTGTTTCTGCCCCTACGTGTCCACACACGTGGCGGGAAACTAATGTGTTCCCGTTTTGGTGCGAAATGTCGTGGGAATATTTGTTTGAAGGGACCTGTTTGCAGACTCAACACAATGTCCGTATTGATGGGGACCGTTGTGCGTTGGGTTTCAGGATCTACTTTTGCCAATCATTCGGAGAAGTCTGGAAGGCACGGACTGGGAAAAAAGAAAGAAAGAAAGAAAGAAAGAAAGAAAGAAAGAAAGAAAGAAAGAAATGGTAGAAAAAGGAAAAAGAAACACTAGACGAAATTGCTGAGAAGAATATAGATACAAATTAAGATAAGCAAGAACAAAGAACAAAAGGAAAAACGAAGATGGAAATAAATGCGATAAAATAAATAAAGGGAAGCATGTAAAGAAAAAGAAATAAGCTAAAACGAGTTTATAAATGAATGAAAAAAAGAAAATGAAAAAGAAACAAGTGAAAAAATGTCATACTTGAATGAATGAAAGAAAATGATAGATAAGAAAGAATACAGAAAAAGACAAGAACGAAAATGGTAAGAAAGAAAGAAAGAAAGAAAGAAAGAAAGAAAGAAAGAAAGAAAGAATGACTGAATGAATGAATGAATGAATGAAAAATAATTTAATGGATGAATGAATGAAGAAAAAGATTAGATAGGAAAGGATATATAAGTAAGTGGTATAAGTAAGAAAGAATGAAAGAAAGAAAAAATAAAGGGGAAAGATTTTACTGGTGAATGAAAAAAGGATAGATAAAAGCGGCAAAAGAAAGAAAGATTTTATTGATGAATGAAGAAAGCAGTAGATATGAAATGATCGATAAGAAGTGACAAAAGAAAGAAAGAAAGAAAGATTTTATCGGTGAAAAAAGCGGATAGATAAGAAAGCAACAAAAGAAAGAAAGTAAAAAAAAGAATGAAAGAAAAATTGAGAAATAAAGACTGAAAGAGAAAAAGAAAGAAAGCGGTTATTGGAAACCGAAGAAATAAGAAGATAAATCTAGAAGAAAAGAAAAAAAAAATAATGACAAACCCCAAAAAGAAAAAAAAGAAAAATAGCAAAAGAAACAACAAATGGCAATTAAAAAACAAAACCTAAAATGGCGGGATTCGGGAAAATGAAAAAAAAGAAAGAAGCGAAACAAAATCTCCTCAAGAAAATAAAATAAGCAAGAAATGAAGTCCATTTGGAATATACTGACAAAAAGACTCACAAAAGAAACAAGAAAGCAAAAGAAATTAAATAATAGTATTATGACATGACCTGGCGCAGTGTTCCCACCGTCACCAGCAGCACATGTGTTCCTCCCAGAAGAGCTAAATGGTTTTCTTGGAGAGCAAAAACGTCATGACTCTTTGCAGAATATCTCGGGAGACGACATGCTTCAAATGAAACCGTTGCCCTATGTAGAATCACGTCTTCCTACTCGCTTAATGATATCATTTCCCTTCTCTTATCATATTTGATATATATATATATATATATATATATATATATATATATATATATATATATATATATATATATATATATATTCTCCACACGATTTCTCGTCCACTGTTTCGCTCTTTCTCTTTGTATTGTTTTTTTTTTTCTTAGCAATACTGTCCACCCTCTTTTTCTCTCTACCTCTCTCTTTCCCATTGCCCTATGTAGAATCACTTCTTCCGACTCGCTTAATGATCCCATTTCCCCTTCTCTCGCACTCTCTCTCGCTCTCTCTCTTTCTTTCTTTCTCGCCGTTGCACGATTTATGTTTCTCTTTGTATTGTTCCTTTCTTTTCTTCTTAACGACACCCTCTTCTCTCTCATTCTCTCACACACGCATACACACATACACACGCACTCGATTTACATTTCTCTTCCACTCTGTTTTCCTCTTTCTCTTTGTGTTGTTTCTTTCTTTTCCCTCTCTCTCTCTATATATATATATCTATATATCTGTCTTATTTCTATCTCTATTTCTGAAATTCTTCTCCATATATTTCCACTTTACATATCTTCTCCCTTATCCTTCCCTATAGTCTCTCTTCCTTTCTCTCTCTCTCTCTCTCTCTCTCTCTCTCTCTCTCTCTCTCTATCTATCTATCTATCTATCTCTCACTAACGTAATTTGTTTTTTTGGGGGGGGTTCTCTTTGTTTTCCTTGCGACTTTCCACTTTAAAACAAGTTCAGTTTGGTTTTTCAATGTTTTATTTTTTATTTACCTCGTACTGTCTCTCCTTCTCTTAGTATTTCTCCCTCCCTCTCTCTCTCTCTCTCTCTCTCTTGATTTTAATTCTCACTAAATGTCCCTATCCTATCGCTCTTTTTTATCTAACAAACCTTCTTTAGTTCTGCTTATCACTTTTCTCATGCTTCTCGTTTTGCAACCCATATCTCGCTTCTACTTTTCCTTTTATCTATTTCCCCCCGTCTCTCTCTCTCTCTCTCTCTCTATCTATCTATCTATCTATCTATCTATCTATCTATCTATCTATCTATCTATCTCTTTATATTATCTTTCTTTATGTGTATCTTTCTATCTATCATTCACTTTCTCTCTATCGCTGTCTATTTTCTCTTTGTCTCTTTTTCTCTTTCTCTCTTTCTTTTTCTCTTTTCCTCCTTTTCTCTATTTATCTCTTATTCTCTCTTTCTTTTCTCTGACTTTCCAATCTCCTTCTCCACTCACTTTTTTCTTTCTCTCGCATACTCTCTTTCTCTCTCTCTATTTTTCTCTCTCTTTTACCTCTCTCTTTCTCTCTCTTTATCTCTTCTTCTCCCTCGCTATCTTTCTTTCTCTCTATGAATCCATCTATGTAAACCTCTCTGTTATTTTCGTATCTTCCTATTACTGTCTTTTTTCAGCTTTATTGGAATGTTTATCTTAGAGGACATTATTCTCTTTCTTTTTTTCTTTTTTTTTTTTTCGCTCCCTTCCGCCATTTCTCTCTCTGCCTCCCTCCCTCTCTGATACACACGCGCACACATATTTTCTTCCACTTAACAACAAATGGGCTCGCATTGTTTTTCTTTATTTCTCTCTCTCTCTCTCTCTCTCTCTCTCTCTCTCTCTCTCTTTCTATTTTTGTTGATCTCAAATTCAGCCAGATTCTATATTTTCCTCTCATCTTTTCTCTCCTTATCTAACTTTCAATTCAAATCTATCTCAGGCCCTTTTTTCTTTCTTTCTCTCTTTTCTTGATCTCAGTCTGATTCTATCTCTTCCCTTCTTCCCTTCTCAATTTATCTCACTTCCCCCCTCTCTATCTCTTTATCATTTTCAGTCTGATTCTATCTTTCCCCCTCATATTTTCTACCATTCTCTTCCTATCCCTTTATCCCTCTTTTCATATCTCTCTCATTCTCTCTTGCTTGTTTATCGCTACTCCTATACAGGAGTAGCGATAAACCTCTCTGAATTCTGTTCATCAATTTTTCTGTTTATATATTTCTCAATATGGCTCCTCGTTAGCCATGAAAGTGCTTTTCCTTTAAATATATCTATTTTCTTTTACTCTCTCTCACTTTCTCTTCCTCTCAATCTCTCTCTCTCTCTCTCTCTCTCTCTCTCTCTCTCTCTCTCTCTCTCTCTCTCTCTCTATCTATCTATCTATCTATCTATCTCTTTCACTTATCCTCCATAATCTCGGCTGGATCCTCTTCCAATAATTACTCTTTCTTTCCTTTTTTTTTTTGCATAAAAAATGATTCAGCTAAAATTGCGATTATACTGTCACAAGAGTCACCATTGGAGGGCGTCAACAACCATCTAGGGACAAGAAACAACCCCCACCCCCAGTGATAACCACAAGTCGTTCGTTTCTATGACATTCCCTCACCTTCCCACTTTAACAGGAGGATGATCTCAGTCACCGACACATGAATGGGCAAAATCAAATGAACATGTAACACTAAAACCTTGAGCCAGACAAATACAAGTCGCTTAACAACATAAAACAAACCGTAACTTTTCTCGGTGAAATATTTTTTTGCCACAAATTGAGAAAAGATGAGAGAAAAGTCTGATATTATTTATACTGTTATGCGATGGCTTTCGACTTAGATCTTACCCTGTTTTCCAACTGGATCTTTGTCTACGTTCTATGTTATTTTAATGCACACTTTCTTTCGAAGCGATTCTATCTGCTATATATTCTGACAGGTTAATAATCATCTATTTTTTTTTAATTTATTAAACAGTTGTTATTTTCATTCAATTTTTCATCTATATTGAAGAAACCTTCAAATATTAAAACAAAATTTGCTCATTTCTGCAAGGGGTTTTCATTTATTTGAACAATTGCTTAGGTGCGTTAACTGCTTCGGCTATAGCTGAATAGTTATTAAAGAACCATCGATGTGCTAGGTCTAATAACCATGACACGTTTTCAGTACCGAGAAAGGCTCACTTTGATTTTGACCTTAAGATTTTAGTATTAAATTATATTAAGTCCTGCCAGCCATCAATCTATAGTCAGAACGAGTGGTTTTTAGGCTTAAATATAATTAGTCGTTCATGCTTATATATTTATTATATAACATCGGGTCTTTGGTCATTTAGACTGTTCATATTCGGATTATTGTCCTCATCTTTGTTTTTATCACAACGTTTCGGCCTTCCTCAGGTGTATATCGATCTGGCTAACCTACAGATAATTCCAAACTGAACCCTTTATTTAATCTTCGAGGGCAAACAGTTCTCGTTCTAGTTCGTATTTTTATTTTGTACTGTTCAGTTATTGATCATCCGTTTCCATTGAGTGCAAGTACACAATGCCCGAGCTCACAAACACTATGTCAAAAAATTCACAAACCAACGTTTTTATCCATTAGGCCATGCTCCCCAATTTGTGAGAGTAAACGTAAGCCTTTAAGCCTTTATCGAGTCCACGGGGGTCCCCAAGGACACATGGCCCAGTGGATAAAAGCATTAGTGAGAAAAAATGTAAAATTGTCATATACAATTTATAGCACTGCTATATTGCATCAATCACCATTTTATTAACACCAGCACTGAATGTGCGATATTACACACACATATATATATATATATATATATATATATATATATATATATATATATATATAGAGAGAGAGAGAGAGAGAAAAAGAGAGATACAGAGAGACAAAGAGAGGTAATGAAAAGTTTGGTAATGCGTATGGACAATCCCAAGGATGCTACAATCCAGAGAACTCAATTTAAAACCAGAGTGAATATTAATTTAATTAAAATTAAAAAACAGATAACATTAAGGGTCTACTGAATATATTTTATTTCTCCAGGAAAGTGTTTTTTCCTGTTTCTTTAGATCACATTTCCAAGCATAAAAAATTCTATAAAACGGCTATAGATTTTTTTTTATGCTGGAATTTTTATTTTGGAATCTGGAGAACACTTTCTTGGGGAAATAAAATACAATCAATGGACCCTTAAGCTTGTCTTTTTTTATTTTAATTACACACACACACACACACACACACACACATATACATATATATATATATATATATATATATATATATATATATATATATATATATTCACTGAGGTCAAGATCGAGCCATGGTCTGAAGATTACGTACAAGCATGAAACAGACTGTCACCGCTCGGGGTTGTCCGTGGTATCCAATTTTATATTCATATACGTTCTATCCATCATATTATGCATGTTTAGCCAGAAATACATTAAAACTTCATCCACACATATTAATATATTTTCTGATTATACGTTATTTTTATAGATACAGTTACTTAATGCTCTGTTCATAATAAATAGCGTTAATTACATTTACCGGCCTGAATGCCCGAGAAATTTCGTAGAAAATAGATACAGGAATCGAACCTGTATCCTACACGGAACCGTCATTTGGCCTGACGTGCTATACTATTCAGCTACAGAGGAAGTGTCTGGTTAGCAAAATCAAATTATTGTTCTTGCTTTGTCTTTAATGTTTTTGTTTTTTGTTTTGTTTTGTTTTTTTTGATCGCTGTGCGCATTTCTTATCCTGGATTGAACGCAGGTAAGAGAGTGTCGATAAAGCGATTAAGTAAGGCGGGTGTGCCACTAGCACCCAATGGGTTACAGTGAGTCGGAGCAAGAGTAAAGAGGCGTGAAAGATGAAAGGATGAAGAGAAGGACGGTGAATTAAATCAGAAGATGTCGATTGACATTACATTTGAATATTTGAAGACTATAACTGTCAGGGAACCAAGTAAGAGGAAGGTAGTTCCGCAGACGGGAAGTGCGAGACTTGGAGCGATTGGAGTAGAAGAGACGGCTACATTTAACCGTTTCGACAGTGAAAGGGTGGGACTGAGATGCCAACCTAGTAGCACGCTTAAATTTATGCAGTTTGGGAACCAGCGAAAATAGCTCGTCGGAGCAGCTACCGTGAAAGTACTCGTAGAAAAGACAGAGGGAAGCGACGGCACGTCTGTGAGAAAGTGACTGTAGACGCGATACTAGACCAGGACCAACCACATTGCATATCTCTAGATTTTGTCGAGGACCTTGACACGATCAGTGGGGGTAACAGACCATATATGGCAGCAGTATTCCATGCAAGGGCGAATGGTTGATCCTTTGTTAATTGTGTTTTTGGTTGTTTTTTTTTTAATTTCTATATTTGTGGTATTTGTTATTCTCGATTTTGTGTTATTCTACCCTCTTGTTTTGACACGTCTGTTTTAATCGCTAATAATAATGATATTTACAGTACTGCTCAGTTATTGCTTGTCCTTTTTTTCGTCTATACGAACCGGCCTGGGATTGTAGTCACTTCTTATGCCGCCAAATTTACAAAACAACACTTTAATCCACTTGGCAAGACAATATCCCAGTGATGGTTGTATAGTAATTGTGAGCCGTGTCGTCTAGACTCACACTCGGTGGCGAACAATAATTGAGCAGCACCATACTTGCCGATTATTTTTTTTACAATGATGTTCACTATGTACAAGTTCCAAGATGCACTCAAGGTAGAGGGTTGCAACGTAAGAGGCACCGACCGAAGGCGATAATACTACCATGATGCAAGGCGTCACCGGAAGTGAAGGAGAAGGAAAAGGCTTAAAGAAGAACCGGAACCCCAATCCTAAACCGGAAACAAGGGATAAACCGCTACTCCTGTTCGAAAAAATCGAAGATGGGTGCGAATCGGGTGATAGGCAAACCTATGTATTCCTATTGTGGATGAAAATGTAAAGAAATAGTAAAAAATAAAAGAATTTTAGGCGGAGACTTTATAAGTATAGAACTGAAGCAGATGTAGAAATAAAGTTCTACTACTGTTCAAAAAGACCGGAGAGGAGCCTGAACCGGACGATGTGCAATAGGGATCTGGTAGTAATTCCCTGAAGATTACCTGAATTGACACGGGGGGGGGGGCATAACGCCCGATACGTTTTGATGACAACAACAAAGAGGACATTAATTTAAATTTAAATAATGTAAATAAAGAATTATTAGTTCCATTAACAATATAAATTTAAACACTTCCTGTAACCGAACAGCTAAACGTGGATGAACTAAGACAGAATACGTAATATAAATGGTGGGCAAGCAAATGATAGTTTAGAAACTATGCAATTGCCTGAGATATTGCATGAGGTATTGGGACACTTTTCATTTACCGTTTTTTCTTGCGATTTGAACCTAGTTAGTCAGTTTTTATGAGCAGATACTACATTATTTACATTATTCGGACTATTGTTCTCATCTTTGTCGCCATATTTATCACAACGTTTCGTCCGTTGCACGCGTACAACGGCCGAAACCTTGTGATAAATATGGCGACAAAGATGAGAACAATAGTCAGGATAATGTAAATAATGAACATAATACCTCATCTCAGAAATATAGACAGACTCTGAGCAGATACTAGTCTTCTTTTTTTTAATTATTTTGATGACAGGGGACAACCTATTGAAATAATGTTTACGTATGTATGTAAAATCGAAAATACCCTCGTGACATGAAAGCAGCTAACTGATCTCATGTTGATAAGTTAAAGGGAGACAGGACAAGAGAACTGGATATGTCGACCATATATTTTGGAATTTGCCTCAGGGGGAGAACCAAGGTCAGACAAACTAAAGATTTAAGATGACCGATTAAAATGGCAGTGAAGAAGGAAAGAAGAAAGAGAGACAAAAAAAGATGAAAAATAAGAATAAAAAGAAGGGAGGAGTAGAAAGAAAAAATGGAAACAAAACAAAAGATAAGTATTCGGTCCAGAGTACAAGATTTAGATTTTGGCAAAAGACAGCCGAAAAAATTTCTAACAAGAATATATATATATATATATATATATATATATATATATATATATATATATATATATATATATATATAATAATGATATATATATATTTTGGCAAAAGGCGAAAAAATTTCGAATGAGAATATATATATATATATATATATATATATATATATATATATATATATATATATATAAAGAATAATGATTTTTGGAGAGCTGGGGGCAAAGTGCATGTAAAGGTTATTGGGAAAGAAAGGATGAGTATGAGAGGGGAGTAGTGGTTGTGATGATGGAAGAGAGCGACAAAAACAAAAACAGAAGGAAAAACGCAAAATAAGCGATGATGATGATGATGATGATGATGATGATGATGATGATGCACACAAAAATTGGAAGAAAAGACAGCTTTGTTTTTCTAACGAACGACAGATGCCGGTCAGTTATCAAATTATGACCGACCGGCTTGATGTGTCATACTAAAGTCGATCAGAAGCGATCGGGGCATTTTGATAATAGTACGGCCAAACCTCCACCCGCTTCTTTGCTGTCCCACGACACCCACCTCGCATCGTTCTGGGTGGGGGGTGAACCAAGATGGCGAAACAAAAACAGTATATATGTTTCTTTTGCTTTGTTTTGTTTTGTTTTTTTTTTCGACAATTGTTTTTGTCTTTCCCTCCCTACGTCACTGTCACGTTCTTTCTTTATTTTTCTAGGTTTTTTTTTTTTTTTGGCTCCACAACTTTTTGACTTTTTGCTTTCTTTCTCCATATCTCGTCATTTCTCTCTCTCTCTCTCTCTCTCTCTCTCTCTCTCTCTCTTTTATTTTACTTTTCTTTTTATTTTAATTTCTCAGTTCTTAGCTTTCTTCTTTCTCCTTGTATTCCTTCTTCTGCAATGATATCCTTCTCTCTCTCTCTCTCTCTCTCTCTCTCTCTCTCTCTTTATAATGCTTTTCTCCTATTCTTGACTATCTTCTCTCCCTCCTTTATTTCTTTTCTTCGCTCTCTTTCTGTCTGTATCTCTTCCTTCTCCTCCGTATTTTGATTTTCTCTTCATTTTGACTCTCTCCTGTTTCCAACTTCCTTCTTTTTCCTTCTGCTCATTCTTTAACCCTTTTTCATTCACTCCCTCTTTCTCCCTCCCCCTCTCTCCCCCTCTCTCTCCCTCCCCCCTCTCTCCCCCCTCCCTCTCTCGCTCTCTATTTCTCTCACTATTACTCTTTCTCTTTATTTTGGTTTTCTTAACTTTCTTCCTTCTCCTTTTACTCATTCACTAATCTTTTCATTCACTCTCTTTCTATCTATTTCTTTTTCACTCTCTCCTGAATATGATTTTCTCTTTATGTGTATTTTTTTCCTGTTTTAGATTTCGTCTTTCTCTTTTAACTTCTTCTTTAATCTTTTACTATCTTCCTTTTGCTTTCTATCATTTTTTCTCTCTCCTTCTCCTTATTTGATTTTCTCTTTATTTTCATTTTCTCCAGTTCGTATCTTTTTTTATTTCTACTTTTACTCCTTCTCTTTCTCTTTCATTCACTCTTACACACACCCAACCCCCATTTTCCTATCAACTCTTTTAATCTAAAGCCTCTAATTATTAAACTTTCCTTTCGAATTTTGACATTTTTAACAAACTACTAATTTGATTATATGATTGGATTTCATTTTTCTTTTCTTCTCGTTTTCACTTTATTTTTCTTACTGTCGTTTCTCTTTTCTTATTCATTCAGTCTATCTTTCTCGTTCACTCTCCTTTTGATTTTTTTTTCATTTATTTTTCCTTCAATAGTTGTCATCTTCATCCTTTCTTCATTCATTCATTCTCTTTCGCAATTTTCCCTATTTATCTTCTACGGCTTTAAGTAATCCATCATTTCATATCTATATATCTATCTCGTTTGCTCTACACATTTACTCTATCTTTATTTTTGTTACGTCTTCATCTCTTTCTCTCTCTCTCTCTCTTTCTCTCTCTCTCTTTCTCTCTCTCTCTTTCTCTCTCTCTCTCTCTCATCTGATGTTTTTAATTATTTTCTTTTTTATGATTCTACACGTATATTAACCTATTTTATTTTATTTTATTGTTATTCTTTCATGAATTCTACTTTTTTCTGTAGTGTTTTGTCATATATATATATATATGTGTGGGGGGTGTAATACTGAGGTCAACCTTGTTACAAGAAGATCCACGTTTGGAGAAAGCAACCGAAGCCACACACCGATCTTAATTGACGCAGTACGGAAGTGCATAAATAATACTTTTAAGTATGAAAGATCAAGTCTAATTATATATATCAAGAGTACGAAATTTTAAAAAGAATTCTTGTTCGCTCACAATATTTGAAGAAAGAAAGAAAGAAAGAAAGAAAGAAAGAAAGAAAGAAAGAAAGAAAGACTCTGGTGTATCTCGTAAGAGACATTTTTTCCGAAATTCCAGATTACCTAAGAGTATAACATTGGCTAAATACAATAATCCCCCGCATGGATGTTGCTCGGAAATGACTCGTTATATTGATTCAGCGGATTGTGAATAAAAAAAATATATATATTTTATGATTATAGCCGAAACGGCTATAATCATAAAATAGATATATATATATATATATATATATATATATATATATATATATATATATATATATATATATATATATATATATAAACGGTTTCCCTGATAGAAAAGGGATACGCATTCGATTTCTGTTGGAGGCAAAAGCTTTCATTAGTAGGACTTCTCAATCTAGGCCATTTGTTATGCAATTTCACTGTTTAAGAAAATGAAGAAAAACAGAGATAACAGAACAAATATGTGTATACGTTTACAGTAAAAGAAGTAATGTAAGAAATTGCCAAAGTTTGTGTGTGTAAAAGTATATCTAATGTGAAAGATTTTGTTAACGATATAATTGACCTTCGGAAGACCACGTCTTACTTTGTCTCTTTAAACTTTCTGTAGAGTTGTGCGTGTTCATCTGTCGCTATAAAAGAGGTTTTCCTTCCTCATTGCGTTTTCATTTGTTTCCTCTTTGTCCGGTATTTCTTTGTTTTGTTTCTCATTGAAATATTTCCTTCGATTTAAATTGTACTTTCACTTTCACTTTTCCTTTTGAATTTTCATACATATTTTATAATTGTATTTTTTGGGTTTTTTTTAATTCTTGGGTATTATTTCATAATTACATTTTATTTAACAACATTTTTCCGTCTTGTTGCCTTTTAACTTTTATCCTTTTTGAAATTTCTTTCATATTTCCTTTGCTTTGGACTAATTTATTTCTTCCTTCCTCCTTTATCATCTTTCATTTTCTTGTCTTTTTATCATCTTTTTCATTTTCCTTTCTTCATCTTCACTGTTGCTTTCTTTCTTTTTAGCTTTGTTTTTAATTTAATTTCCGTGTCTTTTTTTTCCTTCTTTCTTTTGTCATTTCTTAACTTCTTAACTTATGTACATTTTATTTCATCTTCATTTCATGTCTTCTTTACACTTTTTCTCTTCCCCACTTTACGTTTTTTTTATCTTTCACTATCTATTTTTCTCTTTCTTTTATTCACTTGCTTTTCTTACTATTTCTTTTTCAGTTTCATTGATTGCATTTCTTTAGTTGCTCATTGCTTCTTCTTTTATTTCCCGCACGTTCATTTTCTTCTTAACCCCGCTCGTTTTCTCACCATATCTCTGTTTCGTTTTTACTTCCTTCTTAAATACATTTACTCTTTCTCTCTCTCTCTCGCCCTCTCGCCTTTTATATCTACCACTTTCTTTTTTTTTTCTTTTCAAACCCTTTTTCCTACTTCCCAATACAGCCTCTCTCTCTCACCGTCCCTTTCACTCACTTATCTCCCACTTCCAAAACATTCCCATTTATTGCCCCGACCAACGCCCATAACCTTACAGCTTGGTCCGCTTTTCATTATATCCTTGTCAGCGACATGTGCTCCTCTTGGACGGTCAGCGTTCACGCTGTAATGCGCATGTCACACAGAAAGTCAACGAACGAAGCGTTATCTTCCGCCCTTTTTGCTTCTTTTCATTTTGATCTTGTAAGTCATTTTTTTTTCTTTTTTTTTTTTTCAGGCATCATTTTGTTTGCTTTGTTTGCTTACTATTTTATTTTCGTTTTTATTTTATTCACAGTTTATCTGCAAGCTTGTACATGTGTGTATATGTATGTCTCTCTCTCTCTCTCTCGCTCTCTCTCTCTCTCTCTCTCTCTCTCTCTCTACATACATAAATATCAATCATTTTTGTAGCAGTATCTATCGAAATATTCAGCATGCTAGTTTCACAAGCTACTGAGTACTCAAAGTACATGACCTTGCGACGAAGCTGCCTTTACTCAATAGTAAATAAAACTAGATAGGATCGCCTATCGCCCGGTTCATACTTCTCCCTGTATTTTTAACATTAGAGGTTTATCCCTTTTTTCTGTTTAAGATTGGGTTTGCGTTACCTTCTAAAATCTACTTCGACTCTATAATTCTACGCCTCCGTCTGTAAATTTTATTTAGTAATTATTTTTTTATTTTATTTCATTTTAAGGTTTTTTTTTTCTCCTTCTTAGAAGTAGATAGATTCACTTATCACCTGGTTCGCACTCATTCCCCTTTTTAGGAACAGGAATAGAGGTATATCTCTTGTTTCTTGTTTAGGATTGGGTTTCCAGTTCCTTCTCCTAAAATCTTTTAATTCTCTTTCACTCCCAGTCGCGTCTTAGTGGCATTATTACCTTGTTTGCAGTGTGTAATTGAAAAAAAATAAAGCAAAATCTTGCGATTTTAATAAAAATGACGGAATACAGGGAAATAGTTGATTTATAAAAGCACTCGGTATATTCTGTAAATCTATATAATGGGAAAACGTTTATAGAGAACAAATTTCCGGTGACATAGTGAGCCAAAATCGCTTAGAAAGTGGCGCCAATTAAATGTTGTAGATGTTAGACATGAATGATACAGATATATCTTTCCATTGCACATTTCCTTCTGCTTAAATCTTTCGGTGGCATTAGGAGGGTTAAATTATGACTAACTTCAGCGTATATTTTTAAATTATTAAGATAGATGTTTTCTTTTATTAATTCTAACACTGAAGATATTTTCGTTTTGGTTAATTTTAAGACACCGTTCCTCTGCTTTCCTCTCTCGGTATCTCAATCTCTCTGTCTGATGCGGCATTCACCCTGGGCGGATTGAGCCGGCTTCTTCCTGTTATGAGAAGAAGATTCTTGGGATAAATTACAGAAGTAGGGTACCCAGGCCTACTCGGATAACGTTCTTGCTTGCCGCGGGGTTCCCACAGACGCAGAGACAGGAACGACCAGAAGCCGCCGGTTACCGATGCAGACGCTCCTTGGAGCCCTTGTTAGCCGGCGTGTGTTTCAGACCTGTCCGCCTTGGGTGGCCCTACCAGGAACGAAGTTCCGGGCGGCATAGCTCTGACACTACCGTTTACACTCCCCACCACCGACTGTGAGGTAAGGGTTGGACTTTGGGAGCTTACAGTACCAGGTGTTCCCAAGCGGTCCCCCATCTAAGTACTCACCTGGCTCTACGCTGCTTAACTTCGGTGATCGTACGAGAACCGGTGTTTCAGCGTGATTTGACCGTAAGCTGGTATCTCAATGGATAGCTTTGAATCATATAAATGCTCTTGCCATATAAAAACAAGATGCTTTTAAATGTAAAATGATTTCGTGATGTTTGTACTTTATCTCCGCACATGATCGTCTTCGAAATATTTTTGTTTACACCAACGTATGACAACTTTTTGTGGTTCCCTTGATAATCGCCCTTATCCATATTAACACCAAAAACGTACAAACGTCCTACGGACGATAATGGGTATGTCCCTATTCACATCAATACAGTAGTAAATACTGTATGTTGGTCTGCAGTCGGAGATTCGTCTCCAGCTGTGCTGGTCAAACTCTCTGCCTGGAGGCAGAGAGGAACCCCAGACGAAGCTATGTCGAAGGGCAGAGTCTAGTCTCGGGAAACAGCTACCCGACCCCGTTTTATACTGGGTCTACGATGAAATTTTGGCCAAGCTGACGGGCTCGGATACCACATATTAAATTCGGCCTTGTGCCAAATCTGCCTGGTGCAGCAGTTGGTAGATATCCTGTAGTTGGAGATTCGTCTCCGGCTCTGCTGATCAAACTCTCCGAGACGAGGCTATGTTGAAGGGCAGAGTCTAGTCTCGGGAAACAGCTACCCGACTCCGTATAAAACGGGGTCTACGGTGAATACCCCACATTAAATTTGCCACATCTGCCTTCGTGGAGCGGTTGGTAGATATCCTGCAGTTGGAAATTTATTGTGGAATTCACTTGACTCACTTCTAGCAGTTGACTACTACTTCTACGCGGCACTGGCGAATCTTATATGTGTTGTTCTTGTCCTGAGTATTATCGTTCATTACTAATCTTCGTTTGATTATTTTATTCAGTAACCTTCCCTAGGTTACAACAATTGTTTAACACATTAATTCATGTAAATTGTAGTAGTTTAAGAACCCGCTGTTATGATCCTGGCACCAGATCCCAGAGGAAACTTTTCTTCATATAAAGTACCTCCGAGATTAAATCAGAGTTGTTTTGCAAGCAGGCAGAGTACAAATGCCATAGGTGATACTTAGAGAACTAGAAGCCCTACTAACATTTATTTTTACCGGCACAATCTTAAAATATGCAGATGACGCAGTATTGATAGCAGATACAGAAAAGAAAACGCAGGTATTCTTATAGAACTCATCAAAGAAAGCGAAAAGAAAGACTAACCAACAATTGTAAGTAGCACAGTCCAAGATGCGAATTAAGAATTAGAGATACCAAGATTCGAATTAAGAATTGGGCACCGATCAGGTACGTAAATTTAAATATATGGAAGTATTTTAACATAGGAAGGAAAATGTGACGGCGAAATTCGAAGGTGCACTGATATACGATGTGACACTACAGAAGGATGCTATGAATATCATGGACAGAGTATATGAAGATGTTTCACGGAAAATTGAAACAAAAAGGGCGGTTATACTCAGAATCAGAAAACAGTTAAAAAAACACATAAGGAGGAAAGAGGGTTTGAAGAATTTTATACACACAGGTCATAATGAAGGCAGAAACAATAGTTGGAATCAGCCAGTAACCCACCTAAGAAGTTTGTGTGAATGGATAGTAGAACAGGGAATGGGAGGTATTGGGAAAAGAGAAACATTACTTAGATCGAAATGGATAGGAAGCAGTGGAGAACCATCATCATAGTCGATCATACCTCGCAACAGTCATAATACTTTGGGTAAATAGTACTAGTTTTCGCTTTCTCCTTTTGAAGAAAATTCGCATTGAAGAAGCATCGGATAAATTATAGTAAATGAAAATCTTTTGCTCTTTGTGCCGTTTTCAGCATAACCCACTCCTTTACTTAATTATATTTGATATACAATAAGAATATGTCACCAAAGATTACCGATTATTAAACCACATAAAAAGAACATATAAACAGTTTCATAGATATTAAAAAAGGAACGCCACGAAAGGGAGATAAATCTAGGTAGACTCAGTGTATATATCTACTAACCTACTTAACTGTTCTCGATAGGATCCATACATATTTCCCCTTCCGTTAAGTTATAATAAGTAAAGCTTGAAACGGCTACAAGCAAATTCAACTCATCTTCCTGCCCATCCTCGATTCAACACTTTAATGGTTTTCCTCGGCCCCCGAAGGATACTCTGTTTGCACTTTTATTAAAACCGATAGTTCAGGACTCTTACCTTCAGGATCCAAATGGGAATTCCAATCCTTATTTTATTCTTCTGATCATATTGCATCTGGATCGGGGTATAGAGACGACAGCGTGTAACGCAGGCCCTTGACATTCTTTCCCGTTTTCACCTGCCCTACAGGGAAAATGGGATTGAATATATGAACAACATCGACAACTTGTCATTTCCCTTACGGTGTATTAGCTGAATTATTGGCTTTGGATATATGTATTTAACATTGGAAGGTTCTTGGAAATTCTTTTCTCTTCAGCTAATTTTATACCATCCTACATAAGTTATTTCGACCAAGAAAGCAGAAAATGCTGAGTATTTGGGGGTTTTTTTTATCATTACGCGCGTGAAAGCACATTCGCATAGACAGCATGGCCGTTCGAGCGCAAATGCGCACAAACAATACGGAAAAAAATGACACCTATGATAAGTGCATAAAAAAGAAAAATTGAGAAATATAAGCAATCAATTGCTGATACATCCTAAAGAGTGACGCACAGGTCTGTCTACGAATCTCTGGAGTCGGGATGTAACATCATTCTGCTAAGTGACAAATTACTAATTCTAATATTACTTCTATACAGTATGACGTGACTGTATATACCATTTCTTCTTCTAAGTGACGCATCCCTTCAGGACCTTGGCGATTAGGGCTCTCCACAACAAACTATCCTTTGGAACCCCAAGCAACGTTTGTCGCTTTTCCAAAATTTCCGATTCCCCATTCCGCCACCCATTGAAGCAAACATATCAGTGGACCACTTCTTCCGCTTTTCCCGCCCGCTATCCATATGCCCTTTGAGTGACAAATTCACTAATCCCTCTGTTTTCAGTATATATATTTTCAAATTTCAAATTTCAGCTGTACTTAAAAAGTTCTCGTTTTTTATGCTCTCCGTCCATGGAATTCTCAGCATCCTTCTGTAGATCCACATTTCCGTTTCCTTGCATCTTCTCTTCATCTCTGAGGAGAGTGCCCAACATTCACTTAAATACAAAAGGATTGATACTGCACCGCAGTTCTTTGCTTCTAACGAGATTTTACTGTTTCTTGGTACTTTGCTTAGCTTTTCAAACGCATCTTTTGCTAATCCAATACGCATAAATGACACAGGCACATTTATACAAACGAACATTTAAACTATAACTCAATATAACCGATAATATATTTCTATTATCAGAGGTACCCGGTGTTGCCCGGGTGTACATGGCAGCAATTGTATAACCGCACCCCTGTATATTCTCACACCCCTGTCTAGGAATATCTGCCTGCGTCGCCGCTTGCATGTATCATCCTTTGGTATACTAAGCTATCCCCCCACCCTATTCTTTTTTACGGTATGTCCTTCGCAAGTGTTTGACTGTTCATAATAAAGGAATTCTATCGATAAAACCTTCTTGTGTGGTCGTTGCTCGGGGTTAAATTGTTTCAATGTTTTAGATATTCAATAAAT